GGGATGTTCTACAGGTTCTTTTTTTATAATGGGTGATTATAATTGGACTCTGAAACGGTGTCGGTAATGTGGGCTTTTTGGCTTCAATCAATTTTGTTGCCTGTTTTAGTCACGTGGGGTAAGAATAACACACTTAATTTTGAGTCAAATGTTTTCAGCTCTATGAAGTATAGATCGATACCTCCAATGACACTAGGCCAACTTAATTTTAGTTCTGTTGTTGTTTCTTTTTTTTCACAAATTTAGTTTTTTGTTTTTTTTCCGAATTTTGTTAATTATTTTTATTAAATAAATGCGGTTGTTTACAAAAATAACAGGATATGACCATAAAATAAAGTTGGCCTAGTGTGCATCGGAGATATCGAGATTCTCTTGTAAGAGTTTTGAAATAAACATTTGATACTAGTAGGGTAACTGTCAAAATAAGAATGCAATAACGCAATTAGCAATTATCTTTAGACATTTTTGAAAAATATTTAGCTTCTTTCACAATCTGTCGATAAAACTGTCTACAACAACTACTTACACGAGTACTAAAAATTTTATGAAAACTGGCAACCTTGCAAATCGATGCCTTACTTTCTCAAACTCGTATCTTATAAGGATGAAGGAGACGGCAAAACTTTCTATTTATTTAAAATTTCTTATCAAGCGCGTTAATTTGTGCATATCATATGAATAAAAGTATTTAGAATAGACAAAAGCCAGTCTGTGAATACGAAGGAAATGGGATGTAAAATCAGCGTGCAACATTTATATATATATACCATTGAGTTACAAATAAACGGACGACGGGTTTAATACAAAAACGACGAAAAAAAATGTCCCAAGTCAACCCATTCGAAATTTAAATTGTAATGTCATCGCAGTATCGCGCTGTCAGTAGAACAAATGAAGACTAAAGCGGAGTGTCGCGCTCTGTATACGATTTTAGCGCCTTACAAGTGCGGACACTTTTTAGCGCGGACCCGACGTCCATATAATTGTAAGTCAATGATATATACAGTCCATTTTTTGCATTTCAGTGACATTGTGCTGTAAGATACGAGTTTCAAAAAGTAAGGCGACGAAATGTCATTTTATATTTATTTATTTGTTGAGCATTGGATAAAGAGCCATCAGCTTAAACAAGCGACAAAAAAATTAAGAAACTCAAAATGTAATAATACGGAAATTAAAAATTAATTTATTAAAAACATTGACTTACAATTATATGGACGTCGGGTCCGCGCTAAAAAGTCCGAATTTATAGGGCGTTAAAATCGTATACAGAGCGTCATTCACGCTTTAGTCTTCGTTTGTTCGACTGACAGCGAAGCAAGCAAAATTAGACAGTACTGCGATGACATTACAATTTAAATTCAACGTTTTAGCCTTTTCATATTCCTTTACATGTCACTACGTTTAAATAGGTTGACTTGGGACATTTTTTTCGTGGGTTTTGTATTAGACCCGTCGTCCATTTATTTGTAAGTCAATGATTAAAAACCTCTAAAAACGAGCCTTTTTTTTTACTACGTCTTCAAAAAAGACAACAGACTATAGAGTAGAACTAATTGTTGTTCGGTGCATTAAATTGGTTTCGATTATATTTAAGCTTACAGATGCTTGTTTGTATTTATAATATAATAACGCACACACTCAACATAGCCCCGCACTAGGGAAACCCTGTGTCGCGGGTGCCATGGACACACACATAGACAACCACAAATTACACCCAAATTCATGAGAGAAATAAATGTAGGTCATACAAATATTTCTTCCGGCCCGGGAATCGAAACTGGGACCTCTGCGTGGCAGTCCGGCATGATAACCGTTCGGCCACGGAGGCAGTTTATTTATTTTTGAATGTAACTAAATCGAAAACTCTGCTAATAATGTCTCGAGTAATAATCCGACATACAGAATGTGTAGATATTATAATGACATCTGTGCTAATAATGATCTTTATAGTAGTAGTTACATAGTTTTTAGAAAGTCTCTACATTCCAATCTACCACCTTAATTTTGTTACGTAACTTTTTCATTCTTTTTTGTAATATCTCTTAATAGTGCTGTTTATTTGTTAGATATATATATTTAGCTAATTCCTAGGTGCTACTGTTCATTATATATACTAAAGTGTTGTGTATAGCTATAATTGGGTTGCAGGTTTATAACCATTAATGTAGAATAGTTTTTGTCTGTTGTAAATTCTTGATCTGTAATCTGTTGCTGTACCTTATCCAATAAAAATAAAAATAAAAATAAAATAAAATTGACAACAGATACATTCCAAGAAATGTAGTATCTCAATCTAAAATACGTTGTGTTTAAAATACTATTTAGTTTAGTTGCTTAATTCTTCTTAACTTCTTAAATATTTTTTTAGGAGTAAATTAAAAAAATAATTGTGACCCGTCTGCATTTAAAGATTATTCTGTTAACAATTCACGAATAGAAACTGAAATGGAACAAACGCTATTGCAAAACAAAAAATCAAAGAGATTGACTAGAAGTGTCCGTGATTGGCCAAATGCCGCTTATATTCTAACCAATCAGGAGGCAGTAGAGCGTTTGAATAGCGTCACATTTGATGTTTTAAATATAGTTCTTTTTTGCGAAACGGTTTACGTCTTTGCACCGTTTATGTAACATTGTGGGACTATTATTTAATAAAATAGTTTTAAGTTTAATAATTTCATAAATGTAGTGAAGTTATTCTGCTCAGGAACACATTGACGCGTTTAATCAAGGCTTAAGGTCCATCCATTATTTTCTTCTTCCATGGATCAAGTCGTGTTCCAATAAAAAATATCCCCCTAGGTGCATCATTTAAAATTCGCTACACAGGTCGGTGTCGCTCTGTTTGAACAGTTTTCCCTGCTTGTTTGCTACACGCGTCACCTGATCGTCCACAACTCGACACCTTACCCTGCGCGCTATGAATTTCCTAACAAAGATCTTTAAAAGGCTATAGAGTATTGTAACAGATTTTTTCTACTCCTGTACTTGAATCTGTCAATTATAATTTCTTAAACCATATCACAAAGGGACCAAAATTCTATTATTGTTTATGGTACTCGCTACTGAACTGAATCATAATAGCTCTGTACACAGAACTATAATGAGTTTCAAAAATAGAACGTCGTATTTTGCAAATTAAAATATCAAATATGACGCTACCCAAACTGCCTCCTGATTGGTTAAAATATAAGCGATACTTGGCCAATCACGAACACTTCGATCTATCTCCTTGATTTTTTGTTTTGTAGCGTTTGTTTTTCTTTCCTTCGAGTTTGTTGTCATGGATTGTTAACATAATATCACAACCCAGTGTTTCTTTACTTTAATTCACTCGTAGGAAATGTATTGTATGCAATCATTACATAATTAGGTCTTAAAATCTCGTACCATTACTAAGGCCTAGTGACTTTACACGGTAATCGATTTTAAAAACCTTCTGTGCCAAATCGCAAGTGAAAGGGTGTTAGTTGTCACCGCTGCGCCATGGCGATATGCAACGATTGCATAGAATACTGTTTTGAATTAAAAGGAATAACCAAAAAAAAAACTATACTTCAAACAGAAACTTATTATAAACGCTTATTAATATGGTTAACGGAAATAACAACAATAATATAAGAGATATTTCTGCTGTCAGGCAGTATGTGAGCAGTAGAGGTTCTTGTCAAAGAGTTGGTCCACAGAAGTACTGCCACCTCACCTATTTCGACCGACAAGCAAGAAGAGTTAGGGACACTCGTTGAACATCGATGTATCGAATACATTCGATGTTTATCATATTGTTACATCGGATTGATTCGATGTTTTGACAGGAACAAATTCTATTCGATGCATCGATATTTTTTATTAAAAACGTCGAATCGTAGAAAACCTAACTCTATATATCGTGTTTCAATTTGATATTGGAAGTCATTTAGTGTTTGTTATAATTGCATTTATAATCCTAGCTTTTTTCATTCTTCTGTAAGTGAATAATTGAATATGTATCGAACTTATTTGTCTATTTTAAGCAGTTTACCTTAGTTTTTTTCACCTATAAATGTATGTCTTACCTTTGCAATACTATTTTTTTTAAGTTCCTGGCTTTTCTAGACCAGTACTACCAAACTATCATAAAAGTATTAAGCTAAGGAAAACAAAAAAGTTTTCTATATTGAAAAAACATCGAAGCTTTTAAGCGTTGCATCGAAAAACATCGATGCAAGGTTTCGATGTTTTACATCGACTGAGTGGACACCCCTAAGAAGGGTAAGGCAGCTAGTGAAATCACAGGCACATGGGACTTGTCAACTTATGTCTCAGGGCTAAGTCGCCGTGGAAGTGTCCCTCGGATCATTGCAATTTAAAGCTCTGAGTGGTACTTCAACAGCTATGGATAAACGTGTCGCTTAATACCAGGCGCTCGTTTTGTTCCTGTCACTTGGTATCATAAAGAAGAGCATTAATGCGTTTTGGTTTTGAAAGGTGCTGATGAAGCCACAGGCATAAGGAGGTTTGTCAATTTTATGGTTCAATTTAGCGGCTGCTGTAGTGGTTGTGATTTAAGCTACGAGCAGTGCGGATTTATAACTCGATTCCCACCAGCTTGCCTAAAATTTTCCACCTATAATGAAATATTATAAATATTTTAAAGTAATTTACTACATTTTGTGCTAAATTTTACGTGTAGAATAATTAACCAGTGAAATAAAGGGTACTAGTGTCTTGTGTGCTAATAAATTTGTTAAGGCCAGTATTGTTTCTTGCTCCGGTTTTACTAAAGACAATTTTCACGGTCCGCGTGAACTCCGAACAAACCACCCGCGCTTTCATTGTAGGCGACTGCCTTCAGTGAATATTAGAACTGAATTAAATACTCGATTCAGAGCACTGCGGATTCTACGCATGCGGATGGCCCATAGGCGGACAGTCCGTACAGACCGTACACGCAGCTGTGAACCCAGCCTTAAGGGTAGGCGTGTCGCTTACTTATCATAATGTAAAATTCTCCTTACCTCCCAACTCGGGTATTCTATGATACAGCATTCCGGTCCTGGCCAGCCATTCCAACTGCATATGATGGAGCACTCTATCCCCTGGATGGTGGAAGGCTGAAGGCAGAGGAGTCCCCGGCGGTGGACCTCCAGGTCCTGGTAATTGCGGGTAGAAGAGTGCTGCTGATTGTGCTGCTGCGAACGCTGGGTTTTGAGGTAGAAGTCCTGGTTTTGGGATTATAGCTGTGGGAAGAGATAAAGGTTTAAGTTTTACCACGTTATTTATATCATTAAAACAAGTAACTTTCCTATCGGGATATTGAAAAAAGTTATAAGTAAGGAGAGTGTATTTTCACCTCACTAGCTCGGAAAGGGTTTCTTTCTCATTACAAATCTGCGCACAAAAGCGTTTTTTCCATGGAAAGGGTTTTTGAAATTCGAGCTTGACGATGGACTGTGGTCACACCCAACTTTTTCTTTAAATGAAAAAAAATGGCACTTGTGTTTATAAATCCGTTAGTATAATTTATTCTTATTATTATTGACATATAAAACTGATTAGTTATAGTTCAACTGTTTTTCTTTCATCTACCATTTTCTTCGCTATAGTGAAGTGAAAAGTTGTGTGTTTCGCTCGGCAGCAAAGCTGTTTTGCGTCTCGTGACTTCAAACCCTCGCTACGCTCAGGAATCTTCATTTGAACCACTGGCTTCGCTCGTGGTTGAAAAGCTGCTGCTTTTGTAAATTTAAAATAATAATTAAAAATACATTATTAAGAAGCCCTTATTAAGAAACTTCCATGTTTGTCATGGTCATGATCATGCCCAGGAGAGGCGTGCTCCGACAGTGGAATGAGTTATTCTGTGGGGTGACTCTCTTTGCAGATACTTGGTTATATTTGCTATTACATGAGTTCTAGTTTAAATTTCTACTTACCAGGTCTATAGTTGCTACTTTCGTATTCCTCATTCCCTCCTTCCACTCCAGGCGAAATCGGTGGACTGTAACTCCCACTCCGGTTTCCATCATCAGATCCCGGACTGACACTTCTAGGAGAGCTTTGTCCTGATTTTTGACTTTCCGTCTCCCGTGGGTCGTTGGCATCAGACAGAGACATATCCCTCTGATATTTGTCAATTGTATTATGTTCAATTTGAGCTTCGTAATTATCATTTTGATAACGAGTAATATAGTTCTTATTCTGTAGTAACTGAATATATTTTTGCTGGTTTATCCTCTCTTGTAAACTCGTCTCTGGTTCAATTTTATTCGACAATAAAGCGTCAATACAAAAAGATTTCTTATTTTGGTTCAATACGGTTTTTTGTTCATCTATGTTTTTGTAGTACTTCATGTTTTGCGGACTGTTTGATCGGCTGTTTATTGAAGGATCTGGGTTCGATTCTTGGTCGATTTCTAGAGGCTTTTCCTCGTTTGAATCTCGACGGTACATACTATGTGGTATTACTTGTGAGGACATTTTGTTTTACATTGTTTCCTGCGAAAGAATAATAATTTTAAAGTAATTTATTTAGTACCTAGTAGTAGAGCTTGTAGGCCATACAATTATGGGACCTCTGCGTGGCAGTCCAGGATGGTAACCGTTCGGCATAGAAGGCATTTCACCTTCATCTTATGTTATATGGTAATTTAACTTCATAATAATGGCAAAGTTCCGTACATTATTATGTAAAATCTTTTAATATTATTGAAATTGAAGTCAGTTATGCCCTTAGAGCTTTCTGTATATTCAATTTAGTACCTCCAATGAAAAAGGTAATAACTTAAAAATGGACACTTTTCAGGAGAGGCAAAAAACCATACTTTTATTGATTATGTGTTGTTGTGAAAGAGCTCGTCCTGGGAAGTAAGTAGGTACTGTGGGAGCGTAGCCGTGGTTGTAGCGTAGATAGAGGTACTATTTAATTATAAACGAGGAATACATTAATAAATCAAGATTTACTGTGAGCGTTCAGTTCTAAAATTTTTCTAGAACTCTCCCGATGTTGATTTGACAACAACCTTCTATTTTTCATAAAATTCTAAATACAAAATAACACAATCTAACCAGCCTGTACTACAGTACTGCCACCATGCCTAATTCTGCCGCCAAGCAGTAACGTGAGCATTACTGCGATTCGGTATTGAAGAATAAGCACGCGACATTACAGGCACATGGGACTTGTCAACTTTATGTTTCAAAATGACCTTTGCCTTTTTGAAATGATCTCAGATCTTTGCGATTTAAAGCTCTGAGTGGCACTGCAACTGTTATGGACAGACGTGTCGCTTAACAACTGGAAACTTGATATTATAAATAATTATCTTTTTTTTATTTGAAATTCATCATGAGCTTTTCGGTGAAGAAAAACGCCGGGAGGAAGAAGAAGATTCAAAACCATTGAAAAGCGTGACGGACTATGGCCTAATACCTCGCCTAAAAGAAAACCCGTACCCAGCAGTGGGATGTATAAATGAGTTGATGATCCCCTAATTTGCTACCCTCAGGGGTGGAAAATTTTCTTCAACATTTTAATGGGACCGCTATTGAGATATCTGCCCCCTTTCCAACAAAAAAGAATCATTGGTTCAAAAGTGAGAAATCTAGTAACATACACGCAATAAAAAAGAAATTGTCGACTTGAGAAAGCGAATTCAGAGAGATGTAGCACAGTCTCAAATACAAGTACATAATTAGGTAACTAAGTGATAATATTCCACATCAACCTCCCTCTCCCTCCAACCTCCTTCTTTCTTGAAGTCGGTTATAAAAATAAATATTGCAAATGGTACAGAAATCAATGACAATGTTGCCACAATATCATTGAATCTGCCATGCAAATACAATATTCATATTATGCTCAAATATTTGTGCATTGGATCCGGATAAAGAGACAGATGCCAAAGGGACAAATTCGAACCAGGTGAGATTGTTGGTGTGGAATTATCACTAGAGATTGCAATAAATACATCATCAGTGGGTAATGCCTACTGTTATCTCATGGAACTGCAGTGGCCACATTGGAATTTGCAGATGTGGCCAAAGGGTGTCAAGTTGCTTTTTTTTATAACTAACACTCAGAGCTTCAAATCGCAAAAGATTTAGGCGCAATGCCACTGCTCCTGTCACCCTGAATTTCACCGCCAACCCCTCTAAACCGGAACGTAGTAATGACCACATTACTTCAGAAATAGGTACGATAGCAGTACTTCCCTGAATCAACTCTTTCAATCTTTCAATGGTTAAACTCTACCGCTCATTCGTAAGGCAGATTCCCCTGAGAAGAATGAGCAAGAAACTCTAGGGGTTGCTCTTTGTAAATAACATTTACAATATTTTTTTATTTGAAACATCAGATTGAGACTACCTCCATGAGCTAAACGGGTTACTACCACGGATTTTTGTCATCCAAGTACGCAGAAGTTGTATAATAACCTTTAGTATAAAGCTTTTGTTTCACTTTAGTTTTAAACCTCGTGAAAGGAAAATTTTGTATATCAACCGGAATCTCGTTATAGAAGCGTATACGTTGCCCCTTAAATGATTTTGTGACTTTGTGAAAACGACTATTAAGAACAGTTAGTTTAAATCCTCATTCTATGAAGTCGCACCAGATTAGTTATAGGTACCATAAAACCTACCTTGGACAACAAAAATGGGTTGTATATTATTCCCCGCACCAGACGAAACATATAAGTTACAAGAGCCAGATTGCGCCTCACTTCTAGCATTCTGTAATTAATCATACATATAATCTCAGTACAGAGTACTAAAAAAACCGACCTCAAAAGTACGTGGAATTACGTCTATTTGCTAAGTTTCATTGAAATATCCCCTAGTTCGCCACTATACAGGACTTGATACTGGAGATAATAAAAATAGGTTCTCACTACGACACTACTCAAAGTATATAGAGGGAAAAACGCCTTGAATTGGATAAATAGCAAAATCAACTAAATAATTGCTAAAAGTAATTGCTCCTAAATTAAAGTTAGGCGCTATTTATAAAAATGAATCTTCATGCGTGAACAGCCACCCTTAGAGGTGGATGATTTCCTTCAAAATGAAATGGGACTACTATGGAAGGACCCCCTTTCCAACAAAAAAGAATCATGAAAATCTGTTCACAAATACCGGAGTTATCGCGTAACATACATACAAAAAAAAAGAAAAAAAAAAGAACATACAGTCGAAACGTGAGAACCTCCTCCTTTTTTGAAGTCGGTTAAAAATAAATGTTAAGTAATCGGACACGCTGAAGCTAATAGTGCAATAAAAACAAAAGGGCATAACTCGTCTTTCGTTTTTCACTGGAGGCACTGAATTATTGAGATATATTTGAACAATAATCTCAGTTCGGAGTACTAAAAAAACCGACATCAAAAGTACGTGGAATTACATCTATTTGCCAAGTTTTATTGAAATCGGTTTACGGAAAGCAGGTGAAATTGAATAAAACGGATACATCCCCTAATTTGCCATCCTCAGGGGTGAACTGGGAGCACTAATGAGGTATCTACCCCTTTCCAACAAAAAAGAATCATCGATAGACGCTTCACAATTGACGGAGTTATCGCGTAATATACGTACAAAAAAAAAATAGTCGGTTAAAAAAATGGTTAGATTGGCCTTTATTTCCTGATCCCGAATGTGTACATTTTGTAATTATGTAAACACTACTACATACATTAAGAAGCATTTTTTGAAAATTGAAGATATAAACTTCATTTCGAAAATTGCCACGGAGGCACTTAAAGTGAGCGTGTTTTTGTACCTATCTAGATGTAATTAAGTTACTTTTTAAGATTGTTTGCTCTATTATATTTTTACTTAAATAGACTAAACTCCTTCGCCGCGGATAAAGCCGGAAGGGCTTTTGAGAACCAAGCTTGAGATTAGTAAATAAGTATTTTTTCTGTATTTTGGTCAATACACTAAAAAAACCCTAAATTTTGATAAAAAGGTTTAAAAAGGCTGTTATGGTCAGAGCGTGATGTTTTCCATGGTATTATAAAAAGAAAAAAACGCTCTATACGCCCTCAAAGCGGGTTAGATTACGTACTAAGAAAATAAATAACGTATTTAATTAAAAAGACCTTACGCCCGACACGCGCCTGATAACAATTTATGAAGTGATAATGTTTTTATTATTAACTATTAAACCGCTAAAGAGCTTTCGATAATTCCGACAATTGATTAGATACTTATTATTATTTAATTAAGTTTTATTGAGTGTTTGTTTTTGTTATCAAAAGCCGTCTTCTGTGTTTCTGTGTATAATATATACCTAGTTTTTTATATGCTACTAAGTGACGGATTGGAAGATGTGGTCAAGTCTAGAATGCCTCAATGCCCGAACACATGGCCGCACACGAAAGAATACGTGCGTGAATATATGCTCGGAATTTCTCTGCTGGACCACATACCCAATGTGGACATTTAGCATCGCACAAAGGTAGTAGACGCAGGCACTTGGCTAGAAGGGCCCATGGAAGATAGTGGCCAAGAGACGCAAAAAGACCAAGAGGCAGAGCACTCGCCCTATGGATTGATGACATCAAGGCCATAGTTGGAAACCACTGGACACGACTCGAAAGGTATCGGAAAGAAAGGCGCAATAGAAAGTAGGCCTATACTCAGCAGTGTGTGCAAACAGGTTGAAATGATGATGATGAAGTGACCGGACGAGCAAGTCGTGTATCTGGTGGTACACGACAAGTATGTCTTTAAAGTTTTACACCACAAAGACCTGAGAAGCCTTGCCATTGACATAAATTGACAAGTCCCATGTGACTGTAATTTCACCAGTACCCCTTACCCTTCGAAACCGCAACGCAGTAATGTTCCATTACTGCTTGGCGGCAGAAATAGATAGTTAAGGTGGCAGTACTTCCCTGGACGAAGGAGTTCTGCTGCTGCTAAAGGAGTTGTACTGCTAGTTTTATCGGTAGATTGTGAAAGACGATAAAATTTTGCCAAAAATGACTGCATTGTGAAAGTTATGATATTCTAATTTTTATTTTATTTATTTATTTTCAGGTTACAAAAGACCCATATAACACATACCTTACAGACTAATATACATAATAATATGATGTTTTTGACAATTTAAATGAACTTGTGCTCAATAACTGGATGAATAAGTATGACCAATGTTTAGTCTACAGTCGATAGAATATTTATCGACTGCAATCACTAGCTGCTTGTAAACGGGCAACACTTTTTCCTATGAACTGTCATTTTACTCCATCTTCAAAACAAACAGGCTATAGTAAAATTGAAAAAAGTTTTGTGAAATATAATAAAAAACAAATTCACAAGTCCAAGCCCTAAGTCTGCTTAAATTTTCTTGAAATGTAATTCCAATGAGAGTCCACTGAAGCTAAATTGCAATTATGATAATAGTTGAGTCTTAATCATCGAGTACATAACCAGAAATAGAGACGAAATAAGGGCCATCCATCCCTGGCAACTCATCA